AGACAGGACAGGGAAACCCCTGAATGTGAGCAGAACCATCAGAGACAGGACAGGGAAACCCCTGAATGTGAGCAGAACCATCAGAGACAGGACAGACAAAGTCATGAACATGAGCAGAACTGTCAGAGACAGGACAGGCAAACCCATGAACGTGAGCAGAATCATCAGAGACAGGAAAGACAAAGTCATGAACGTGAGCAGAACCGTCAGAGACAGGACAGGCAAACCCATGAATGTGAACAGAACCGTCACAGACAGGACAGGCAAACCCATGAACGTGAGCAGAACCATCAGAGACGTAACAGGCAAACCTATGGAGAAGGTCAAAGCTGTCAGCGACAACAGAATATACAAACCCATGATGGCGCAGAGAGGTATGAAAGGTCCCAGAATCAACAATCCCATGGGAGCCAGCAAGGTTGTCCTACCAGAGAAAAATTCCACATCAATGAGGATGGCCAAAGCCAAGGCTTACAGGGAAGACATGGTGACCCAGCCTTCCACCCAACCCCAGGCAATGGGAAGCCCCAAAGAAGAGAACAAGATGGTGGTCATTTTACCCAGGCCAGTATTTCTTCAAACCCCTTTTATGACTATGTACAAGAACAAAGATTATGTGAGTACTAGGTTACACGATCTCCAAAACTAAAGAAACAAGAAGGCAAGGAAGAAACCTATTTGTCAAGTTCATCCTTACTTCTCTCTAAGAGCTTGACAATGTATGTCTTCTCTCTATTCTCCACTCTATCTATGTGCAATGATGCTTTTGAGGACCAATATTCTCTTTTAGAGCATTTCATTTCTTTAAGAAACAATTCTAAGGATTTCTGGTTAGGTGAAATCTGAGTGGTAAGTTGGGTGCAATAATCAGATCCCAATTTTGATCATTTAGGGAATTAAATCATTTCCTGGTTTGCCTTCCATGTAGGTAGGGCCATATTGGATCCCTGAAAGGGCAAAATACTTCTCTCTAAAGTTCAGAAATAGGAAAGGTATTCTGAAGACTTATATTACAACTCAAGGGTCAGGAAACCTGAACTTGGTGAGCTTTGGCTCCTGTGGATGAAGCACCAAGAATTACAAGCCTCATAGTCTGGATAGTGATCAAACACAGAGAGGCTGTTTGAAGAGCCAGAGACCACAGACAGTGCCTCTGATGTCAACAATACCTCCTGCACCCAGGCTTCTATCCTTCACTACAGAGACTATCTGTTGAGTTCCTATCACTTCAGCTGACTGGATCAATTCCAATGCCATACCTTTCAAGTTTCTGAGCACATAAAATAGAGAGAAAGCTTGTCATCTATTTGCAAATTCTAAGGGGCCAACCTGTTAATCCATAACTCCTGAGGCCTGAAAACCCTGCACAAGAAAATCTGTGTGCATACTATGGAATTGTATTTAAATA